GCCTCATCAGGCCCACTGCCAGCTCGGGCTCAACTCTGTCGAACCCTTTGCTCATGTCCAGACTGATCATAACGGCCTTTGGGTCATCCCAGGCCCGGGCCAGACTCAACATGGCCGTGTGGACCCCCTTTCCTTGATGGCACCGTGGATGTCCTCGGTGGCAAGTTCATCCATCCACCGTTGGACCTCAGGCCGCTTGACCATGGCTGTAGAGACTGTCCTTGCGAGGATGCTCATCACGCTGATGGGTCTCAAGTCATTGGGGTCCGCCTCCTTTTCCTTGGGTATGTGCCAACAGTCTCAGCCATTTATCCCTCTCCGACCAATCAGTCCACAAGTCCAGGAAAGTCTCCCGAAAACAAGTAGGCCAGCTCCGAGTCTCATTGCCTGTCCATCCATCCACTCCTGGCGCACCACCGCCCTTGCCCCGGGCTGCATGCTGAAGGTGTTGGGGTGAGATCTGCCAATCTTGCTCTTAGTGCGGTGCACCTCTTGTCATGGTCTTCTGTCGTAGCCTTATCAGCTCCTCGGGTGGTTGCTCCCGCTTCCAGATCCCTTCCCAGAAGTTGCCCAGCTCCCGAAAGACTTCCTAGCGGAGACCGTTTGGTTTCCAGCACACTGCGGAACGTGTTGATCCCACAGTCTTGTCATGCAGTGAAGAAGTTGTGCAACGCCATGGAAGACAACAACACAATGGTGTGAGGGAGTCGAGTTCTTGGAAAGAAACACATGAGCAGCATTTCTGTAAAATTGTTTCTGATAGGTCGTGATAGCACACGCCTTGCCTCCCCAAGCCCAAGAGGAGGGCAAACCGGACTTTCAACTGACAGGCACGGGGCATTGACCACTAGAAGCCCACACCCTGCCAACTCACATTGCAAGACGTGGCTTTGTTGCTTGCGATCCCTTTGTGAAAACGGCCGATATCAGGCCAAGCCCTCTTGCTTTCTGGGTTTGCCCTCGCACTTGTCCAGAGAACGTGAAGGTGCAACATGTCTTCGATTTGGACTCCTTGGCTCGGACGACAAAGCTATTGCTTTGGTCCATGCTCAGGAGCAAGCCATCGAATGGCCAACCTTCGTCCAAGCGCTGGAATGGGCAGGAGCTGGGAAAGGGGAAGATGGAAAACAGCTTGCAGGGATTGCCCCCTTGTTTAGAACTCGAGCACTTCCGACTCAGATGCGAACCAAGTCTTGAAACTCAAAGTTTTGTTCTCCGTTGTCTCCTTTCAGCCTGAGAAAGCAATTGCCTCAAGTTTTGGGCAGGAGACAACAGACGACACCGATGGCGGCGGGTTCTTGGTCAGCAGTGCCGAGAGGCCGGGGTTGGAGACCTTCAACGACTCCAAAACCAGTCCATGTCAAGTCCTGGACTTGATATACTTGATGCAAGGCACGAAAGCTTGAGGATCATTGCATTGGACGCTAAGCTTGCTCATGCTGCGACTCATTACTTGCACCGCTGATCTGGCTTGTCAGTGATCAGGCAGGGCCTTCTTACCGCGATGGCAGCGCTGGCCCTGCTGCTCTGAGGCGCTGCATTGAGGCGGGGCCACGCGCATCAGCCACTGATCCCCAGTTGGCAGTTCAGCGCTTAGAGAAGGACCGTCACCAGATGCTGCCCGAGAGGCTACCATGCATTCATGGGTGCTTTATTTACTGCTTTGCTACAAAGTCCAGTTTGTACGTGAAAATTTCCAGTCCTCGAACTGCGTTGAGCGGAATTTTCCCTGGTAGCCCGGGCCCTGGAGAACGTGGGCTGTTTGTCGTCTTGCAAGAACTGTCCAGGTGTGGACCTTGCCAAGATAGAGAGGACGGCCTGAGCCATACGAACTCGGTTTGCAAAACTGTAGCAGAGAGCATGTGCCAAAGGCACTTGCTGCCCACGAGGCAAATATCTAGATTGGCTCGTAGCCTTCAGTCTGAGTTCTGCTAGCTCTTTCTTTCTGAATTTGTAGACACATTTCCGTATAGCAGACCTGAGTACAACTCAGAGCAAGCTCGAGTATGGCTGCCAAAGATTGTTGGATCTTGCGGCAGCTTTTTTCCACTTGCCTTCTGCCTCTTGATGCTTGTGCTAGTGCAGGCAAATAGACCCATTCATGACACAAGCACGGCCAGCACTTTTTAGTATATCTTGCTTCAGTGATCGGAGCAGGAGAGGAAGGCTTGTTTTTTGCTTACCGGTTAACGAATCGCTGTCTCAAGTCAGCTCTGGACGGGCAGCGGAGCGGCGCATTCAGTCGCACCCTCCGGAGAGAGGATATGCGGACACTCTTTAAGAATGCGTCCTTTTGCAAACATCTCGCTCCACCGGCTAGTGTGCACTGGGGGGAGAGTTCTGCAGTGTAGCAAGCGCGCGCAACAGCCAGTTGTTGTCAGGTTCCACTTCACACATCCACCAACCCACCCACACAAGCACAATACATTTGCAGTTGTGAATACGCTTGTCAGAATTAGAAGAGTCAAGGTTGCGGATTCCAGCTGCATGATGGCACCTCATTGGCGTTTCAGCATCGGACCTGCTCAACTGTTGCATTCCAGAGAACAAGAGAGTGGCTACAGAAAAGAATGTCCAAAATTGAGAGTCGAAGGCGAAGTTGGATGCGACGAAGAGCAAGAAGGCTTGCTATATTACCTTATGAAGAAACGAGATGAGAAAGAGGTATGGTTCGCAATCCTCCGCCCCCATTGTTAGCTGTCAATTGGCGGAGGGAATCATCACTCCCGCTCCTCAGCAAGAAAAGCATTTGGGCGGGGAAGACTGGCTATAGAATCAATTCATGAAGCCAGCCAAGCATCTCTTCTCTCGGGAGATGAAGGAAGAGGACATCATTTCTAAACGCTGGAAAGAACTGGCCAGCGAGCGGGACTCTTCCTTCATCATCCATCTCTCTTCATAAGTTACTCATTTCCCCGCTGCTTTTGCTCGCGGAAGCTTGTCAATGAGCATACATGAGCGAGCTCATACCTTTTTATTGCTTTCCTCAACCAATGTAGCCGTGTAAAGCCTGGGAAGCGAGCCATTTGGTACTCTCGCCCATTTCATATCCTTCTACGCGAGAGCTAGAGATGGAGAAGGGGCGAGTCTTGGATAGACATGTTTATGTGATGCCTTCCACGTGCCTTGATGTGTCTGTGGGGACCGGGTGCCCTTCGCCAATTTCTCACGACATAACGTTGAGTTGCGAGGCATGACACTATTACCAGGATTCTCTGGTCAGGCTTGGCCCATTTCCTTATCTTGTCGATGTCAAAGGGAAACGGGAAAGGGATGAATCCCGGGATGAACAAAGATCCCATCTTATCTATTTTTCAAGTTGTTTTTTTTGGACTTAAGTTGTTCTTTTATCAGCTTTCAATGACAGACAAGATAGTGAAAGCTGAGCTGAGATACGAAAGGGCAAGGAATTCCATTGTCTTACCTATTTATGTTTTATTTGTTTATATTATTATGATTTGTTTATATTATTCTGATTTGTATTTGACTTCTTTAGGATATTGACTGCAGGGAGAAGCTCCGCTCACCTACCTAGGTTCACTCTCTTTTCTTCTCCAAGATAAACATGCTTCCAGAAAATAGGCAAGTCTGAATGAAATCCCTCGAATGTTGACCATGAAAGAAGAAGAAGAAGAAGAAGAAGAAGAAGAAGAAGAAGAAGAAGAAAAAGAAGAATAATAATATAAAAATGACATTTGCAAAGACAGAATGGGGGGACGAAGACCAACTTGCCGGTGAAGACAAATTTCAGAAGACAAGAGGCAACAACACACCGTTTGCGTAGATGAACCAGAGAGTTTGAGTAAGCCATCTCCTTGGCAACATGTTGCGAAGTTTGGCATCAAGTTTAGGCGCAGAGAAGTTCGGTCTTGGGCATCTGATTTGAGCACCACAACAGTTTCTGGAGCGTCACATATGTGAGCATCCAATCGATGTGTCAGCCGCAATTTAAGCGTCAGGCACCACGGTTTTAAGGTGTCCGCCATCACAAACGCTTACTAGCCTGGAAGCCCGCGCTTGAGCGTCACTTGTTTGCGTCGGCGGCTCGGGCACAACGTCTCATTTAGCAGATTGAGTTCGGACTAGATGCGTCGAAGAGACTATAAGGCGGAATAACTTGCCTAGATTCATAGCATATCCTACCAAGATTTACCCGAAACTCAGCTTTTCCTGGCGTCAAGCTGGAAGGTTGCTTGAGTGACGCTTGAGCTCACCAGAGTTTGAAAGGGCACCTGGTGCTGCCAGAGTATAGTCACGGTCCCGTTGAACAACTTGGCCAGCGATATGGGTGTGTCTTTGTTTGAGGGTGCCCCTTTTTGGTGGTTTTAAAGGGGAGTCAAGAGGAAAACCACTATTTTGGGGGTCCCCTGAAAAAAGGTCACACCCATATGAGCCTGCTTGGCTTGGTGCGCGTTGATCTCTGCATTGCTTTATGCGAAAAATCGCTGCGTGCTACTTGTCTACAAGAAGACTTGGGCACCATGACGTTCATGAAGACTTGGCCCACAATCACCGCGTTATTTGCGGAGCAAATCGTTTATGTTTGCCGGCGTTTATGGTGCTGAGTGTGTTTGCAATGTTTAGCGCACAGCTGGGTTAGCATGATGGCCATGGCGGCCTGCCATGCATTGGTACCATGGGATAGACTTCGACCAAGGGACGGGGCAAGCTTAAAGCTAGACCGAACTAGTGGCTCGTTCAGGCTGGAGTTCCGTTGCACGGGTTGGCAACTTCTGGAAACCTGTGAGTCAGAGCAGTTGTGCCTCCGCGGGATGCTTAGGTTCTTCCCCAATATTGAATTGTAGATTTTGCTACTGCGGGGGAACTGCAGGGTTGGAGCAGTGCTATGCAGTCGCAAAAGTGACCAACTGTTTGAGGGAGGTTGGTCGCCATGCCTACTCACAGTAGAGCCAGCCACATTTTGTGCGCTTAATTGAACTCTGTGTGAGCTCTTTCTTTATGCGTGATCGGCTGAGTTTGGAAGAGATGGTGGCTGACAGGCGCCTGCAGATGCGGATGCGTCTCGCTGGTCGGGGGGCCTGTGCCGCCTGTGCATCTTTCTCCGACTTCAAGAACAATCAGACAACGACAAAAGTGCCCCCCTCGTTGACGAATCTTCCTTTTGAACATCAGGCTCACTTGCGTTGTAGCTGCTCAAGCCGTGCTTGGCAGGTTCCCCTTCACCGGACCTGGCCGGAGACTCATGCTGTTCGTCTTGTTCTTGTTGCATAGAAGGAAGTGAGGGGCATGAAGCAAACATGGGACAGCACTAGAAAGAAGTATGTTGAAGTCCAGCCAACAGCATGCCGCTCGGCACGAGGCAAAGTGACCGCGGAGTCTGTGACCCCAAAGGATCAGAAGAAGGCGCGTGACGAGGTCTGTGAACATGCAGCATATGTGGCATATATGGCATATATGGCACGCACGGAGGTGGAGGCCATCTTGGAGAAACAGAAGCTCGAAGCGCGTCAGGCTCGGACAATCCGTCAGGCGAACGTAACGTAGCGGCTGCAAAAAGCCGAGGTCCAGGGCCCAGAGATCAGAAGCTGTTCACCCTGTGTCACAGCGTGATATATAACTTTCGCAACGCGATGGCTCTAGAGACACGTTATGCGGGTGCGGAGTTATGCGGAGCTATGCGGAGTTATACGCCCTATACGCCCTATGCCTGCACATGGCAAGGAGCGGCGCCGGGGCGGTTCCACGGAGCTGGGAGCCCGGCACGCCGGTGAGTTGGTGGCCAGCTCTGCAATCTCAGGTGCCATACGCAGTGAGTCAGCCGGGTCCCGGGTCAGGTAGGCTCGTTGCTTTCCTTGTCATTCATGCCATCATTCGTATCATTCATTCAACACTCATGAACCTCCATGCGAGAGCTCTTGACCATACTTTGTATGTGTACGAGTCGGCAGTTCTTGTGCAGAAGCGCGAAGGCTTTATGCGGTTTTCGTTCCTGAGCGGCAAAAGCTTGCGTGCGACAGGGGCATAGAGGCATGATTCCTTTCTGTGCTTTCCAAATGCTTTGACAGAGCTACGACACGTTTGGGACGAAGACTAAGAGGTTTTTGCATTGGCTGTTTGCTCTTTGCCCCCTGGATCTACTGGTAGCTGTGCCCTTTTGGGGATCCTAGTTTGCTGAGATTGATGGCTTCACTCGTTTAGGATTGTGTTTTGCAATGACACCCTCCTGCCGCTGCCAAGTGGACAGCATAGTTTGCAGATGCCAAACTTTCCAGTCTAGTTTTGAAGATTTTTCTCACACCAAGTTGCTTTGTGATCCCGAGCTCGCTGCACTACCGCTTTCAAGCCCACACATGGGCAAGCTTGCAACATGAGTGCAGAACTGCATATGTTTAGCAATGCAATCAGGTGGCCCATGACGCTGTTTGAAGAGCAAAACCAGGCACAACAATCCCCGCATTGCACATCCCCTATTCAGCGATTGGTTGTCGTAATGTGGCCATGCGGGTGGCTGTGCGCAGCAGGTCGGCGCCTTGTTGTCCGTCTCTATTGTTGAAGCTGTGAAGCCTGCAATTTGTCTTCATCAGCTTTAATGGCAATGTGGGAATATTGTAATACTAGGATACAATTTCAACTGGAGCGATTTTCAACCAATACATGTTGGTTGGAGCGCTGTCAGTTTGTCGTTGTGCTGTTTGTTGCTCTTTGAGCCGGTTGTTGGTGTGTATGGCAGCAAAGTTCTGCCCTTCAACCCGGGCGCAGCAAGGATGCTGCGCCTTTTGCCAATCGGTTGACCTCAGGTAAGTCCTGCAAACTTGCCCAGATGGATCGCAAAAGGCAGCAGGCAGATCCCAAGCCTCACTTGTATCTTCATTTTTGCCTTGGCCCTGCATAGAAGCTCAGAATTGATTTGGTGCTTCTCGCAGCTTAGAGGCTTGGCAAGCAGATTGGAATCCGTGCATTCCTGACTGCTGGCTTAAAGGCTTACATTTGCAGTACCGCTGATGTCAGGTACACCAACATCAAGGGCGGGTATGAGGCGAGGAAACCGATCTGCGATTGAACACACAACGGTTGAGCCAGCTGAATAGGTGATGTTCACTCTGTTCCTAGAGCGCTGTGGCCTCCTGATTCATGCAGGTGCTTGAGCGGCTTAGACAGTATGGTTTCGCATCCCAAACCCGGGAGAAAACATATTGCAAGAGAGCAACAGGTATTCATGAAAGGGAGTCGTATGGAGTTGAAAGGCAAAACCAGAAGCTGGGTCCAAAGGGCTGAGCTTGCGAACATCGCCCACGGACTGGCATCTTGGCCCAGGAGCGCGGCATCCATGGGGGGAAGCCGGCCTTCAGGAAGCGCCGCACACAGCGCTGCAATTGCTTCAGAATGTCATGCGAGTGAACTGCAAGCCTGCAACTTCTCTTTTCATGATTTCCCAATCAAGCAACGACCGTAGCAAACGCAGCCCCGCCGGCCAGACCGAAGGAGCAGCCTTCGGTGTCATCGGCCCATCCTCTGGCTTGTCTCCCAATGGGCAACCCAAAAAATGGTGCTTTCACCTTGGTTTCAATAAGCATTCGAAAAGGCATACGCTCAAAAATGGCGCAGCCATATGGTTGCGAGTTTCCAACTCAAAGCATGCTGCAAGGCTGCCTTCTCAAGCTGCTAAGGACAACTGGCGATGCTTGGATATTCAATGCAGGCATGCGAGGCCGAGGCTGGAGGGGGCTAAAGTATGGAACGCATCGTCAAGTTGACAAGCCAAGTGGCGAAGTCTTTCGATTTTCTTCATCTCAAAAGATAATGCTCGGTGCAAATAGAACGCTGTACTTTGGCATGCCACGATACGTACTCGCCAAATTTGAATCATGCCATTTTGCTGTTGGCAGTGATAGTTTAATTCGCCGAGCCATTCCTTGTACATTCGCTGATATAAAAAGACTGACTTCAGTTTGACCCAGTGAATGTAGCCTTTGATGCCGTCTTGCTAAGGGGCGCAACTTGCACCGTCCTTTCCACCAGCGTACCAGAAACATGAATAAGTTTTCAGGGGACTTCTTCGTCCCTTTCTCCTCTTCTTTTATGCCTGCCTCTCGTATCCTCCTCGGCCTTCGTGTGCTTTCTCCCTTTGACCCTGCTGCGTTCGTTTTCAATCAGCAGGGATTTTATCCTCGCCCCGGCTTTCATCGTGCCCTTAGTCAATTCGATTTCTCCCTTCCCTGCGTCCTTCGCTCCTTGCAGCGGTCGGAGGGGGTTTGGACAAAGGAACTGGGAAGCTTGCGCCAGTCACCTGGCACTTCGGCCCGCAAATTCCCAATGACACGGGGCTTGCCGTGCACTTCTCGCCGGGGCCCTAGCGCGCTTTGTGTCCAGGTCACTAGGCCCGGGATGGGAAGGTGCTGTCACAAGACTCCAGCTCGGGCCCCTCATATTCTCACCCGAGGGTTTCCATTGGCCGAGCCTATCCTTTTTGGCTTTGGTGGAAGGCCACAGGTCATGGCATTTCGTTTAGAAGTGTTCGCGGTCGGCAGCTCTGCTGACTTCGGGCTGTGGGTGGCCCTCTCCTCTTCGCGTGCGTGGGGGGTCACTGAGCTGGTCGTAAGTCTCCCTCATGGTGATGGAAGGTTTTTGCCAAATGTCATGAGACGCAGTGCACATTTGCAAGACGCCGCTGTGCAAAGCTCTTCACGTGAACAGGGTGGATGTGCGCAAGGCATGCCTTCTGGTGAACTGTACGCGGTTTTATTGCAATCAGCTAAGCATGCACACAGCATGCTTGCATCAAAAAGGAGTGCATAATTTGACGTCCTGTTTCTTCCTCACATGTTTGACGTGTTTGGTTTTACGGGGTCAGGAATGTTCAAGGTGTTGGTCTGAAGGGTAGCCTATGATGATTTGTCCCAGCATTTGCCAGGCTTGTTGACGTTGGACTTCAATGAAGGGCTGGCCAGTGGGCCTGTTGACGTCACCGGGCCAGAGAGTCGATTCATGAGGTCATCGAACGACACTGCCACGCCTGATGCTGCAACTTGGCCAGCGGACAAGGTGGAGAAGGCGCACGCACAGTTGAGATTGGATCTGAAAGGTCTGGTTCTTCCAAATAGAACTTCCATTATCAAGGTGCTTGTTCGTTGTTCATGCTGACGCACTTCGGATGCATGAGATATAGGTCTGCATGATCCGTACAATAGGCGGCGGCAACGACACTCTTTCTGGCTCTGCGCGTGCTTTCTTGACATTTCTTCTGCGTTTTTGTGCAGGTCTGGCAACCTGACGACAGGCGGGCCGGGGAGTGGTGAGGTAGATTAGCCATATATTTCCTTATGTTGGCTCCAGGAGAGGCAAAGATGGCTGGCTGCCGGTAAGCGTCCCGAGCAAACCAGCGATGCGACCCACTTTGCAGGCCCCCGCCTGGCCTCGATTCGACACTCTGGGTGGACAAAGCCCGGACCTGACTTTGCAGGGTGTCACGCGATGCAAAGTGGCGATTGCCTGATTTCAAGTTTGCCTGATTGCGAGTTTTGCGAGCTTTGCATGAATCCATTTCTGCTGGATTCCTTCCCGGCGATTTAGATCGGGCTTAGTCGGCCAAGGACTTTCCACCCAGCGCCAAGTCCATTGGCAGCTTGGGCATGCATTAGACTTCTGAGATCTGCAATTTTCCGAAGGCATTGGGATGAGGTTGAAAATGCAGTGTCTGGCCAAAATGACAGATGTGAGTGTAGTGTGCTTGCCAGGCAAGCTGTCCTGCAAGGCGGAGTGGTTGCCGGTGAGGCCATTCGGGTTTGGTCTGACTTTGGATTCATGAGGACGTCTCTAAGTGATTTCGACGCCACCGGGGAAGCGCCATCTTTGTTTCCATCCCATGGCTTGAGGCCCCTTTCCCAGTCAAGAAACGGGTGGCTTGTGTGCGTCCTGTCAGGCAGCTGCGGGAAGGCAACTGGAAGCTCTTCGATGTCAGCCCCGCTTTGCGCATGTCAACCATGCTTGATCGGCATGAAGTTATTCATTGGAATTCGCGCGGATTTCCCTGTGTTGGTAAAACACGATTTCAGTGCACATGTGACAGGGGCCTTGGCAGCGATGCATAGCCTAAGTGACATAAGAGGGGGAGTCTAGACGCAGAGGTGTTTCGAAGGACCTTCCGATCTGTACACAGCACTGTGCGAGCACGTATCAAGGCTGTCCTGCCCTGCGTCGCGCTCGAAGCTGCTGGAACAAGCGCCTGTAGAATCTTTGGTCAGTCAAGTTTAGATTCGCGGGGCTCACACCTGGCACCAACGCCAATAAGTGAGAGTATTGAAATAGATTGAAACAGATTGAAAGTGAAGAGATGATTCAAATGTTGCAATCCCGTGCTGCTGCGGGCACCTGCCGCAGCATGTGAGCACCCGAAGGACTTCCCAGTGTCAGTGAGGACGCTTTCAACCGGCCGGGGGTATGCTACAACGCCCTTGGGCTTTTCCATCCCGCCTGAGGCCGGGGCAGGTTTAGGCAAAATGCAGTCCAGGTGTTCGTTTTTCGAGTCGGCGCTTTGCTGTGTGCCCCTGGGTGCTGGGTCCCGGCAGATAGATCCAGATCCGCGGGGAAGATAGCATTTGGCAGGCACCGATGGCCATGGCTGAGGCAGGCGCGCAGGCGCTGCGCTGCATGAAACTGAAGTCTGGGCGGAGACGGATGTGTGTGACAGCCTGAGAGCTGCTGAATTTGGAGTCTGGAGGCGTGACCTTTCTACAGACATGCGCATGCGGTTTGACATGCTGCTGTAAGAAACACATTTTTGCTTTCTAGCCTGGCGCTGGCATTTGGCACGCAA